ACATCACAGACCACCGAAAACACTGATGCAACATCATTCCCCTTTTAAATAAAATAATATTACATTACAAAGTCTTTTAGCCATGCGGGCTTTTTCTGTTGGCGCAATGAACGTCTATTTGGTACGGACTGTTCTATGGACGCACTTTGTTCTGTTTTACTTTCCGACACCGCACTAGGATTCATTTTCGGGCTGCGATGAAACACAAACTTCCGCATCACTTTTAGATGTTTCTGGCATTGGTACCTGGGCCGGTTTTTTATTAAAGTTTTGAAACTGTATATATGGCGCCAAAACAAGGTGCCATCTTTTTCGCCTAAATTCGCCTTGATCTGTTTGGATCAAATAAGATCTCGCTTCATCCAATTTTTTAATTATTTTCCCATATTTTTTTAGATCCGTAATCCAGACACCATCACCAGGAATGAGTTCAGATAATTCCTTAACTCTATGTCTCTTATCATAATTTTCCTTTCCTTTTCTCTTTCTTTCCTCCCCCAATTCAATGGATGACATTAAAAGTTCTCCCGGTGTAAAACCATTTCAAACAGGAGTACATCTGTATGAAAGCAAGGCTTCTAAAAAAGAATTTTTATTTTTCTTAATGAGATTTTTGCAATTTTGACAGTAGACTCGACTTTTCCATTGGATTGTGGGTACCGAGGGCTCGAAGTGATATGTTTAAAATTATATTTATTGGCAAACTCTTTAAATTCGTCCGAAACTTGAGGACCATTGTCACTTCGCACCTCTTCAGCAATCCCATAGCGATCAAAAACCTCTTTCATTTTGCCAATTATTATTCGTGAAGTCATATTTTGTCCAAGAGTACTAATTTCAAAAAAGCAAGAATAATAATCTGTTATTATTAAATACCAAACTTGGTGACATTTATACAGATCAACACAATTTTTTTGCCAGGGTCGAGTCGTGACATTTGTATCTTTTTGAAACGGTTCTTTAATATTAATTCTCTCTTCAATGCAATTTGGACAATTTTTTACTAAAATTTCGATTTGTGTAGAAAGGCCTACCCACCAAACACTCATTTTTGCTTTCTCTCTGCATTTCGTTATGCCCTGATGGCCTAAATGAATAAAATCCAAAACTTGTTTTTGCAGTGTGGGTGCGCGTACCCTTGAGTAAGAAATTTTCATTCATGGAAATGTCATTTCTAAATTGATAATAAAAAGTCAAATCGGGTGAAAGTTGATGATTTTCAGGCCAACTCGTAGAGGAGTACTCGATCAATTTTTTACAAACTGGATCTTTCCTTTGTTCCTCCGCGATAAGTTTTAAAAATTTGCCTTTAATTGGTAAATTTTTTATTATCATAGAAACATGTGTCTCGACTTCACTTCGCAACTCATCTGGTTCGGTATACTTCAGAGGATTGCGACTTAACGCATCAGGCACAGTCAAATCTTTACCCGGTGTATAGATAACAGTATAAGTATATCGCATTAATCGAATTCTGAAACGGTGTAATCGGGGGGTTAGATCGTCTAAATTTTTTGTAGACAAAATCTGAATTAACGGTTTGTGGTCTGTTTCTAAATATATTTTTGGAAGTCCCAAAATATACTCCCTAAATTTCTCACATGCCCAAGTTAATCCCAAGCATTCTTTTTCAATTTGCGCATAGCGTTCCTCACTCTGCGTAAGAGTTCTGGATGCATATGCCACAATTTCTTTATTTCCCGAGTCGTCAGCCTGAAAAAGTGCTGCACCTAAGCCATATGAACTTGATTCTGAACTGACTATTATCTTTTTATTTGGATCGTAAAAAGCTAAACAAGGTGCCTGTTTCAGTAGAGATATTATTTTCTAAAAGCCTCTTTTTGCATTGATTTCCAAGTGAAGATTATGTTATTTTTTAGCAATTCATTTAAAGGAGCTAAAATTTCCGATTTATTTGCAATGAATCTACCTGCGAAATTGACCATCCCCAGCCATTGTTGTAATTCACGTTTGCAAGTTGGTTCAGGAAATTTTGAAATAGCTTCCACTTTAGAATGTTCAATTTCTATTCCTTTTTCAGAAATCCAGTGACCCAAAAAATTGATTCTTGAAACCCCAAAGAAACATTTACTTTTATTCAACGTAACTCCCTCGCTAGGAAGCTTTGTCAAGATCTGTCTCAATATCTTATCGTGTTCTGCCATTGTACTCGCAAAAATCAAAATATCATCGCTAAAATTTTGTTAAAGTTCAAGCTAAAGTATTCAGGAGCGCAACTAATTCCAAAAGGTAAACGAGTATATTTGAATTTGCCAAAAGGTGTAATAAAAGTTGTTAAAACTTGGCACTCTCTTTTAATTTTGATTTGATAAAACCCATTATTTGCATCTAATTTAGAAAAATAGCATGATCCCGCCAATTTAGCTAAAGTAGTCTCGACTTTATCGATTGGAAAATGCGATCTCAAAACGCTCTCATTTAGTCTTCTATAATCGCAACACAAGCAAACCCCCTTCCCCTTTGGGAACTACAACAATGGGCGAAACCCATGCAGTTGGTTCGTCAACTGGTACAATTATGCAAAAAGACTGAAGTCGTTTAAGTTCGGATTCTAATTTAGGTAAAAGTGGTAAAGGTACTACCCTAGGAGCTGCCTGAACAAACGGTTTTGCTCCCTCCTTAATTTGAATTTCAATTTCTCCCTTGAATTCCCCCAGACCGTTAAACAAGTTAGGAAATTCAGAGATTACATCTACTTTTGTTTTCTCATCTGGTAATATCTTTTGAAGACTCACTTGCCCTGTGAATTTTAAGATCTCTAGATCGATTATTCGTGATCTGCCTAAAATAGGAGTTTGTAAATTTTTTAAAACATATACTTGAAGTTGAGATTTTTTGTCTCGATATGTGATTTCCAACTTTAAGGTACCAATTACATGTAAAGGTCGACCATCTGGACCCGATATGACATCCTCCGGAGCTTTTAATTTTTTTAAAAGATTTTCTGGAATAAGATTTACTGGCATGCAAGTCACATCGGCTCCCGAGTCTACCAAAAATTTAATTTTATTTGAAAACCCTTCAATTTCTAGCCTACAAAACCATTGTGACATTGAGTCTGAATTTTGATTAGATCCTACCATTAATCCTATAGACCCATCTTTGTTGTTGTTTTCTTCTTCGGAATTTGATTCCTCAGATTCTTTCTCTTCTTCTTACAATGCGAACAAGTTGTCTTCCGAGCTGGACATTTTTCCCGTGAGTGTGATTCCTTGCCACAGAAGTAACATCCTGTCACTTCTTTGTTTGGTGCCCATCCGGCTGTCTTTCCGCTGCTGCCTTTGCTGCTTCGATATTTTCTCTTGTCCAAGGCACAGACCTCTTTCCCCGTGCCTTCGCCATTCCTTAGAATGTTACTTTGTCGTGAAAGCATTTCCGCCTGCTTGGCTTCCAAAATTGCGTCTTCTAATTTTAAATCTGATTTTAGCTGCAATCTGTCGCTGAGATTCTGATCTAGAATACCGTCAACAATTCGATCTCTTATAAAATCGTTTTTCATGGTCGTAGAGCCACAAGTACAAACAAATTCACAGTGTTTCGATAAAACATGCAAATCTGTAATGAAAGATTCCACTGGTTCCCCGGGTTGCTGCCTTCTCCTGTTGAAACGAGCCCTTTGAAAAACTACATTTTTCTTAGGAAAAAAGTAATGATCGAACCCAACCAGTGTTTCTTGAAATGTATTTGCTGGATTTGGGAACTGCAAAATAATGTTTTCGCTTTCTGGCCCCATGATGTAAATCAATATGTCGATTTTATCTTTGTCTGCCTTGGTGTTAAGCCCAGTTACCGCTAAATACCTTTCAAATCTTCTTTTCCATGTTGTCCAATCTCCCGGTTCCCGGAAATTGAATTTTTCTGGAGCTTGCACTTTGTACAATGTTACCTCCTTAACTACCGGTCCCAGCTTGACCACCTCCAGCGCCTGTTTGATCACCAGCACCTGGTATTTGACCGCCTGTTGTGCCTGGTCGAAAAACGTCGGCGTTTTCCTGGTCCACCATCTGCTTACATTCCCTTCACAACTGTATAGACTTTTTTCACATTTACAGCTGCCACCATGTCGTGTTGGAGACTTTTTTGTAATAAAAGAGAACTCCACTAAAAGTCCTTTATTTAATTTGCGTCATGAAGTTCGGACATAAGCGCGCGAGACACCAGGCCGAGAGTCCCACATTCTAACCTCTAAGACCATAGAATATGAACATCACAGACCACCGAAAACCCTGATGCAACAGGTTCATCTGAAAGTTCGACGTTAACGGAAAAGCTTTGCTCTCTTGATGGATGTCACTTAAGAAAAATATCAAGCAGACAAAATTAAAATTACATATGTTGCTCGTAATAAACCTTCTTTTCCAAAACTCTAATTTTATTGTAAGATGTTGCCGCTGCTCAATTTTCCAATCCACAAAAAATAACAGAGCCACTAATAATGCTTGATTGACGCTTATGCAGGTAGAAGAAATAGAATAAACACAATCATTTTTTTTTAAATTTGGATACAGGGATATTCAACGCCGCCACAATTAAATCGGATGTCATCTTTAAAAATTGTGCTGCTATTTGCTATAGGCAACCATGTATACGTGAATAGTTTCTTTTCTTGCTAAACAGTAGTAGTGTAGAAATACTCACTTCAGTGAGTAGCAACTTAACTCAATTTGTTCAAATTTAACACCAACAAACTTACGTTTATAACCACTACTGCACACCAACTTTATTTAGAACAGTGTCCAGTGTTCTAAATAAAGTTGTGGTGCAGTAGTGGTTATAAACGTAAGTTTGTTGATCTTCCACCACAGGTTCCAGTCTCCCCGAACAAATTTAACACGTCTTGAATTGCGCTACTAGCATATTATAATACTCCGATTATACCGATTTAATTCGTCACTTTCTTATTGACTTTTTCTAACACAATGTTATTGCAATAAGCTAGTACAAAAATACTGGATATTATTTAAATATCCTTTACTAGATTTTGTTGAAAATTAGCAGTTGTATTTTAAGTGAATTAACACTAGATCATTAGTCTAACTTAAGGCCTTGAGGAAGTCTGTAGAATAATCGAAAATGTCACAAAAAATAGATTAATTGGCAAAAATTGGAGTACATATTCCAGTGCTTCAATTTTAAGATCCTTTTTTCAAATTTTATGGTTTATTTTGTTACAAGAATTTTTAGGTCACAGACCAAAAATCTGGGTATTCCGTGCTACAATATGAAATGTATTTACGTGGTTGTACCTTTTTTAAAACTTTTCAAATAAATAATTACTATAAGGCAGTCCCTTGAATCTTAAGTGTTAAAGGTGGTAAAAGCAAATCATATTTCATGATATTTTATAATCAATTCACTTGGAAGACAGGTTGACAGGTTGAAGCAGAGCCTGTGATTCACGACTGCTCTTTTCCTTACATCCTGAGGATAGAGTGTTTCATCCTTGGCGTATTTATCTGCCAGATACTGCAATATCGCGTTGCTAGAACGAAACAGAACGATAGTCAAAAAAATGAAAATCCGAAATGTTGTCAATTGACCTTTCGCCAAGGTAGAAGCCGTGGGCGTCCAAAACGGGTATCTCTTTTTGAGGATTGAGCTGCAATCAAATTATATACTATGCGAGTGTGTTACCGCGGCACTGGGTTTCCTCTCACCTTGGCGAAGTCTTCGGTCAGGTACTCACTCGTTCCCATATCAACCTTAACCAATTTGTGGTCGACGTTCAGGTAATTAAGGCACTGCAGGACGGCCAAAGACGGCGGTCCATCCGGTATAAAATACAATGTCAAAGGCATCTTTGTGTTCACGGTGATACGCGACAGGCTTAATTGTTGCGGTTTAATTACGATACGACACAAACTGAATACGTCGCTTTCAAACAATTGCAGAAAAATGACATTTTTCTTAGGTTGGTATGGGTGAGTTTGAATTTGGTAATGTTCATTTTTGTGTGGTCGTAGTTTTATACGCTGTTGAAACATGGTGGTGTATTTTTTTTCAATGTATTGGATTTTCTCATATATTTAAGGATATACAGGCCCTGTCTAACGCTATAATACAAGAACTTATGACGGAACTATGAAAAAATTATGATTCTAATCAACATGCGCATGCGTCAGATTTAAAATCTCGTTTTTAACCAATGACTTTGCGGCGCTTATCGACCAAAATGGCCGTTGACAGATTTTTAACAGTGCATCATTAGAAGTTTTGGATTTTCTTCGAGTAAGTAAAGTGTAGATTTTTTAAGCTTCAATTTGCAATGTTCGAAAACGCTTTTCAATCACAATTTTTCCGTTATCTCTATTTGATCGCTCAAAACCATTTTAGCGATTTTTCACCTTGTCTAGATTTGACGTTTTGTTTATTGCCGTTGTAGTTGGCTTAGACTTTTTTTTCTTCAAAGTTATCATTATTATGTAATAAAGTGCGTTATCCCTATAACATCGGTGGGTTCACGTCTGGTTTTGATTAGTTAGTTCCCAATTAACATTCGAAATTTTCGTAATTGTGTTGAGCATTTGAAATTTTTTCCAGATTTACTTTGAAAACTAAAGTAAAGCCGTAAATAGATCAAGTTAGCGTTAATTTTTGTACCTGAGTGAGTTGATGCTGAATATTGACATTTGGAGCAATGACCATTAATTTATTGTAACTTCGTGTCGTCGTCGTGTCGTGTTCGTATGTAGGTAGGAACTAATCGCTTATTTCAGACATTTTCCGATTGCTCTTTTCTTGTTTCATGAATTTTTGTACCGTTGCGGCGTTTTGACGGTTCTAGTCGCAGATTGTGGTTCCGGAATTTGCTGCCAGGTGACAAGGGCCTGCCCTTAAACTCCCGATAAAGCGCTCGCGTCTTATCGGGAGGTTAGGGATTCAGTGTAAAGCACGCGGAACGTAAGACCTCGCAAGATTTTCTCGCGGGGAAAGACGATTCGGTAGCGAATCTGGACCCGCTGACGCCGGGATCCGTTCATGACAAAGAGGCGCGTCGTGGATGAACTTTTTAAGTAAGTTTCCACTTTTAATTTTTTTTATTAGTATTAATAAAAAAGTTCATCGATTCAAGGAATACCGGTTCTATGGATTTACCTCCTAAGAACGAATCAATTGAAACAAATATACAATGATTGTGGTTTATCAATTTAGTATAGGGTATACATAATATTTATGTATAACATTCAATGGACGACAACTTCTAGCTGTATTGATTGATTGATTTTGCTACATTTAGGTTCATTCTTTCTTCTTTACTTCTAATGGCCAAGACTGCATAAGGTCATTCGGCCAGCTTACACAATTTTTCACATTATTCAGATCAGATATCCTAATGAATGCCTTCTTAAGAGAAGAGTCTGGACCAATCCATCATCCTCCAGGTTATTTAATGTATACAAAAACGGAAACAACTTCTAAATAAATTGTCATAAAATGACGACCGATTCTTCAAACGGCTCCCGCAATTATCTTACACGGGATACCCGATCCCATCCGGCATGATTACCAGCGTGAATACAAGACATCCTGAAACCGTGTTAACATACACCTCATGGAATTACACATCACGAATCCGTGTACAACCGCGTAAGACGGACACTATTTCCCAAACTTTTAGGCACTACATCTCTTAACATTTCGGATAACAAATATACGTAACAATATTTTCGTTAAACGACACTAATTTCGACCGATTTCTACAAATTTTTGGAACCGGGCAGGAGCAACGTAAGCCATTTGCAATGGTTCCCTGGAAAGTCTCTTACTTTTCGACATTTAGGTTAAGGTATAATTTGTTCTTAAAATGAATGAACCTAACCAAAAGTAAAAAAAAATATTGCTTTTTTATTTTTAAGCAATTAAGTCGAAACAATATTAATATTGTGAATATTGTTATATTATACAGTGTGTCCTTGACACACCCGTATATTTTTTCTAAATAAATACAGATTTAAAATTTTGCGCATTTTACTTAACCGAAATTTAAATTTAAACACGGCCGGCCTGCTTCTTCTTAGAATTTCATCTTCTATCGAAGGTTGGAAACCATCATGGCAATGCGGACCCTGTTGACAGCCGCTCTAAACAGCTTGGTGCTGCTACATCCGAACCAATCCCTCAGATTTCTCAGCCAGGATATTTTTCGCCTTTCGACACTTCTTTGTTCTCGGATTTTTCCCTGAATAATTAGTTGTAGCAAGCCATATCTCGGGCCCCTCATTAGATGTCCCATGTATTCAAGTTTTCGTTTTTTGATTGTCGCCAGAATTTCCGGTTCACATCCCATCCTTCTGTGCACCTCAGCATTTGAGACCCTTTCCGTCTACAATATCCTCAGGATCCTTCTGTAACACTCGAGCTCAAATGCGACCAGTTTATTTATATGCGCATGATTCAGCGTCCATGCTTCCATACCATACAAAAGGACGGAAAACATATAACACGTGAGCATTCTTAGCCGCAGAGTCAAACTTAGGTCTCTGTTGGTGATGAACTTTTTAAGCCTGACAAACGCTGTTCATGCTGCTTCAATTCGGGTTTTTATTTCCTTGGTGTGGTCAATGCCCGAGGTCATTCACATTCCCAAGTATTTGTATGAGTCCACTCTTTCGATGATGGTGTTTATAACTAAGTGGCAGTTTATACGTGGTGATTTAGTGACGACGATAATTTTTGTTTTGTTAAGGTTGATCGTTAACCCATTTGTTGCAGCATGTATTTATTCTATGTATTAGATTTTGCAAATCGTCGATGTTATCTGTTGTGATCACTGTGTCATCGGCGAATCGAAAGTTGTTGAGAACTTCGCCGTTTATCTTTATCCCCTCTGAGCAATCATCCAATGCTTCTCGGAATATGGCCTCACTATAGACATTAAAGAGCAATGGCGACAGAACACAGCCCTGTCGTACGCCCCTCAGTATTTGGATGTCCTCGGTATATTGATCGTCTAACCTGACCCTAGCTGTTTGGTTCCAATACAGTGTTGATATTATATTGATGTCGCTCTTGTCAATTTTTTTAGCCAGTAAAATCTCTATTAGTTTTTCATGGTTCACCTTATCGAAGGCTTTCTCGAAATCAATGAACCCCAGGTATATATCTTGGTTCATATCGAGACATCTTTGAGCCAACACGTTTATACCAAAGAGTGCCTCTCTTGTACCCATTCCATTTCTAAAACCAAAATGGGTGTTACTCATATCCGTTTCAAAGGTTCTGAGAATACGATTGTGAATAATTTTAAGGAACACCTTCAGTGTATGACTCATTAGAGATATGGTTCGATGATTAGCACAAGTTGTGGCGTTTGCCTTCTTGGGGATGGCAACGAAGGTCGAATGGAGCCACTGTCTAGGTATTGCGCCCGTCCGATATATGGTGTTAAACAGATCAGTTAAGACATCAATTACATCTTCATCAATGAGTTTTATTAATTCGATTGGGATTTCATCCGGACCCGCAGCCTTGCCTCCTTTTGTATTTTTTATTGCATGTATAATCTCTTCTTTTAGGATTGGAGGCCCTGTTTCCACACCCTGGTTGATTGTCAGTTCCGCTCTCTCGTCATGGAATAGTTGCTGAATATATTTCGTCCATTCCGCCACCTTCTTTTTTGTGTCCCCAATTATGTTTCCATCGTTATCCTTAAGAATATGTGATTTTGTGCTCTTCCGGTGTCCTGTCATTTCCCCGACCTACTGCCAATACACAAACGAGTTATTTTTCGACATTTTGCTTGGGGCTAGAGATATTGGAAAAATGTATTCGGAAAAGTTGTTCGGAATATTATTCTAACCTCACAAACCAAAACTAACCAAATTTGATGTCCCAAATATTTTCAAAGTAGAAACCACAGCAAGCTATGGCTGGATCCCAATTTTGAAGTGCCTATATTTTTGACATTGCCATTAATTGTACCCAAGTGTGAGACATAAGCAGACCCTTAGCCATTCCTAATTGTAATTTTGGTAAGAGTTTTCTTTCTAGATTCCTCTGCAGAGGGGACTGTTTTGTTTACAGTTTTATTTATACGGTTTTTTTAATTTAGCTATAATTAGGCCGCAAAAATAGTTCCGTATTATTAGATTTCCGAATATCATTTATGAAAATATTTGAAAATAATGGCGAAAGGACACTGCTCCGTGATTAGTTTTGGTTAGTTAGAGGTACCCCTTTTGCGATATTCTTCTTTGGTATTTTGTTATTACCTACACTTTACGTTAATGGTTCCCTTATGTAATTTTGAATAAATTTTAACTAAAATAAAAGTGTGTTGAAAAAGTAGGGTCATTGAAGTATTGAGTTTTAAGTTATTTGTTGTTGTCGATTTATCGTTGATAAATCCGCAGGATTGGAGGTGTCAACGTGATCTTTAAATTTATCATTAAGTACTCTCTCAAATCTCAAACGTGTGTTTTCGTTAATTTATCAAATCAATACATTCTGTTGATATTCAGAATTCATTAATATTATGTACGGATTTTTGTCTTTGTTGCAGAATGATACTATACTTTCCCGAGTGATTGTTTCGGAACGAAAATCATCTGGGTTAATATAAATGTGTTGTGCAGTGTCGGTAGATTGGGCGGATATAAACTGGATTTTCGGTTAGTTGGTGCTAAAATTGTCGTTCTTTTTGCATTTAACTAATGAGACTTTTTTTTTTTCGTTGCAGGTGGGTGGCAAAATCGGGCACGCCCGCTCGATCGGTTTAGGTCCAAATTCGACTCGTCGGAAAATATTAGGGTTGGGGATGAAATTTTTCGCTTTCGACGTAATCTTTTTACCTATTTTTCAGTATACTTCAGAAGGGTAATACGTATATTCCAAAATACCTATAATTCCTCGATTTTTTTTAAATACTCCTCGTGTGCGACGTTATCGCCTTTGAGATTGATTGATAAAATACATGAACTACAATATTAATACCATTGATTCTTTGTCTCGCTGACGCTTCGGTAAACAAGCTGCAGACTTTTTCAGTGCGCTGTCTGAAACCGCAGATGGCCGAATCCTAATTGGGATGCGAGATAGTTGGTTGTTTATGTTATTAGCGTGTTCGTTAGACTTTCGATTTTTTCTGGAATACAATAGACTGCTGTATGAAAGAATTTTGCCCTAGCACTTCCTTGTACCCAAGAAAAATTCGAAAGTTTATCTCAACACCCTAATAACATAAATTGTCGACTTTATCTCTTGTCCACTTTATAATAATAATGAACCGTACTCTAATTTCGAGCGCATTATAACAGTTTTCAAGTCTGTTCCCTTGCGAATTCTCTAGAATTTCTCACTAAAGGTTACATCTAGGTCTTTAAAATTGTCACATTTTCTTAAAATGTTTGAAAATGTCATTGCGAAACATTTATCTGTATTCGGGGTATATTATTAGAAGCACTCCAAGAACCAATAATCTCCAATTCATTCTGTAGAGGCACACAATCGGCCACACTATCAATTCTTCTAAATAATTTCACATCATCAGCAAGGACCATCAATGTCAGCTATTATGTCATTAATGAAATTAAAGATTATGAATGGCGCTAAATTGCTACCCTGGGGAACGCCGCTACTAGCCATGAACCTAAGCGACGACTAACCGCTGTATTCTGTTATGCACATATGACTTTATGAATGCCACAAGATAATCACAACATCCAAGCATACTCAGTTTAGAGAGGGTTCAAAGGCTTTTGAAAAATCCGTATATAGCACATCCATCCACCTCCCGTCATCCACAGTTTTAGCAGTGAATTCTGTAAAGCAAGCTAAATTACTGATGATGCTTCGACCTTTAAAGAAACCATTATGTTTGTGGGTTACCAAGTGTTTCATTTGGTTGAAAATACTACATCTCGAAAGCCTTCGCAAAAGCCGATATTATCGATACTTTTCCCCTCTTTATAACGGGAATAATTCTAGCCTCCTTCCAGACATCTAGGAAGGTGTTTGTTGCTAGGGCTAAGTTAAAAAAAGCATGTGCGCAATCTCGCACAATCAAACAAGGATCACAAGATTTTTTTTTAACTTGTGCCAATGCTCGTAATATAGTGTCTTCAGTTAAGTGATTGATAGTAATAAATGCATTAGAAACTGTTGTTGAGGAGTCTTGTATTCCACCCAAAAACTCTAGCAAAAGCATTAACAAGATTTTCATTTTCCCAGTAAGTGAAAATCTCTATGGCAATGCCGTATTTGAACGCTTAGATCTAATAAACGACCAGAAAGAACTCGGATCTTCTGTGTCTGCATTTTCGGCCTTAAAGATGTAGTTTCTATATGCCACATCAATAATTCTTTTAATATGCGCATGTATTATTTGTATTGTATTAAAACTGACTCTGATCTGTTGTATTTGAGTTTTTGAATAACTTATGCTTTCGCTTAATTGCTTTAAACAATTAAGCAATTAAACCCCTTCCACTGCTGACCCTGCCCACATCAGATATTTAGTGTGCATCAAAGGTCATGAATTTTTCAACCAAATTTTTATCGAAACGTCAACGGGACACAGTAAATTCCCGACGTAGCAGAAATCCAGAAGGGAGTCTCGGTACAAGTTACATTGCCTGCGGAAGTCTTAAAAAAAAAGGAAAAAGAAGGACTCTATGAAAAATTCACGTCAATCCTGGAAGGACTGCAAGTAGCATATTAAACAATAGCTTAAATTATCAACTACAAATGGTTCCTCGAAAATCTCCTCACTAGAAGTGTCACAGACAAGATAATCCGAAAAGGTGAAGAAGTATAGTGGCATGTTGCGGAAGTACATACCATCGAGCTCTGTGCAGAATTTCTGAAGAATAAGTCAGAATTTCAGACATAAGTCTTTCGTGTGAATCGAAACATCATAAATACAGGGTCATTCATAAGGAATGAATAATCTTTAAACTCTAGGTACTCGACACCAAAAAATAATATTAAAATGATTGACCTTTTTTTGTGAATCACCCTGTATATAGGACATTTTGATTCGGAATGTCTGTTACGAGAGACTTATGTCAGAAATTATTTTGACTTGTTTTTCAGAAATTCTGACTCAAATCTTAAATTCCTCAAAAGTTTGCATAATTCTGCACTTTCGTATCGTAAGAGACTAAGAGGCTTTATCCACGTTAGGGATGCTAAGTAAGGTATGGCCACTTGGACAATGTTACCTGGAGGAAAACTAAAAGGAAACGCGACGACGGAACGAGGGAGAAACCGCCTTCTGATAAGACCATCAATATTTGCTATTTCTCGTCAATCGGCAAGAAATGCAATCGGAGGCAAATGGAGGTTAGATGAATCTTGCTTACACTGGCTATGATTACCAAGATCATAAGTCATTCAAAGGCATTAATAGAACATCTCACAGAGAAACACACAACTGACACCCTAATTTGCAAGAGCAGTTCAAAGCTGAATACCTTGACGGGGGTCTCAAACGGCGCATGCATAAAGTCAGTCTGTCTTTCGGACCACGATGAGGGAATGATGTGCTTGGAGGATGAGGAAACAACGGACTATATATTGTGTTCACGTCCGGCGGTGGAAAGGATCAGATACTCAAAATAAAAACCTGACATTTTGGAGTTTTAGAATCTGAATGTATAAAATACATTACAAATAATTCCTTAATATGCATGTAGATAGTTGTGCAGTGTACGAGACAAGTTCTTTCAATAAAATAAAATATTTCCTTATACTTTGCGTTGGTCCATCAGCATCATCGGCTGAGACGGTGCATATAAAAGTAGTCTCAAACCATTAGAGGTTATTTAGAAGAGTCCTGAAAGTTATATTTCAACTTGACCGACAGTATCTCTCAGATCAGCTTTTTAAGTATTGTAAGGTATTCTATATTCGACAACTATTCCATAAAGTAACTATTATTCATAGGCGGAAAAACTCATTATTCAACCACATATCTCATAATCACTTTACTAGAGAAGAAACGAAAGATATTCCAGCGAACATTTCTATATATTGAAAATAAATTATATAACATAATTCCTGCTGAAATGAAAAATATTATAATATCTAAAGGGTTCGGCATAAATTGACTAATTGGCTATTGGAAAATTGACCCACAATCATTGACTAAGTTTAAAGCTTCGCAATTAATGCAATCCATTATTTTGGTTCCTCTTCCTTTCTTCCTATAACAAATTTTATAATGTTGTCTGATTTTTTTGTTTCAAATTTAAATTTAATGTACTATAAAACTAAAGCGTCCTGTGCTCAGTAGAATATAACTTTATGTTGGGGTAAAGGCTTGATTCTTATGGGCAATAAACAATTTATTATAGTTTATGTTATAATTTTGTATGCTTTATTATGCCTCTATTTAATTTGACGTTTCCGAGAAACGTAACGGTCGTATCTTTATTTTCAATGGTCTTTTTAGTAGAGGTGCGAAAAATTTCATTCCCAATCTGGACGGGCCGGGCGTAGTCCTTTCGAGGTTGGTCCGTATACCCTCGAAGGATGCGGTTTTCTTTATTGTTCTGTCACGATCATTTTTCGTCAAGGACAATAGCGTTCGTTTTATTCAAGCCTTAATGGTCAGCTTCGCCGCCAACAATGTGCCACCCTCGTCTTTAAATTCCAAGTGCCAAATAAAAAAATAAAAAACTTCCTTTTTTGACAAAATAATTTTGATTCACTTTTATCGTGGATAGACTTCTTTTTCGCATATTTGGCCCATCGCTGCGTTGACGACTTCAGCAGGAGAATATCGACATCCGCTGCTCTAATTTTAATACGCAAGTGGTTGACCGTCCAGAACAATCAAGGGCAAGAGGACATGGGCGACGCCGCTGCAGAGAATTTGTAATTGTTAAACTTTACCTTTATTCGTTTAGTGTCTAATCCTTGTTGTGGTAGATATACGGTGTATTCCAGTATATTTTATGCCCATTAATAAAAGACAAAAGGTACAATTTTAAAAGTTTTCACTTTTTTTGTGGATTTCACATATAAAATCAGCTGGTGGTTGCAATGTTGCATTATTAGTTCTAGAAATAAATAAATGACGATTATGATAAATACATCACTTCTACTTTACGCTGGATATATTACTAAAACAAATGGATTAGATTAGATTAGATTTTCTTCACATTCAAGAGAGATTTTTTTATTTCTTTAAAAATCATTTGACATTGTTGGTCAATAACTTTCTTAAATTGATTTTTTGGTAAGTAAATTTTATATGCCAGTGAAATTGAAAAACGTTCTCCCTTCCCAGGGCATGCTGGTTTATTTAGTCTTTTCTTCAATTTTAAATACTTTTTTATTAAACGTTTTTTATTCTCGTGATCACACCGCTCGGCGGACCGATATCTAATGGTAAAAATTGTCGAGAGACAGTCAGATAAACCACTTTTCCAACGAGCACTATTCCTCAATTTAATCGAGATCTATAATTTATTAAAAAAAAGCAGGCTGTGCTTCCTAACGAGGCTTCTGGCAAGCTTTTCTATCAACAGACCGATTGCCAAGATATAGGCAGACTTTAAAATGAACCCCCTGCATATATCTGAAATCAGGGAAAAAGAAATCTAGAAACAATTGGAAAAATGTGCTATATGCTTGCAAATAACACCAACCTGTCAAACTTTGACATTTTCGACCAAAAATGAACTTAACAAAAATATATCCGAATTATGTTCAGTTGTAAAAAGTGACCTGGTATAGATCGGTTATCTACATTTGACCCAACTGAACATCCTTTAATTTTTCTAGCTATAGGGGAGGGTGGAGCAAGCTTTTTATTATTTTTTGTGACTTTTAACCATCAAGTCGATTAATTTTTGGACAACTTGAACTAAATTTACCCAAATTTTGGCGAAACTTCTGGCCGTTCTACCGCACTCACCCCTATTTATATTATTATATATAATAATTATAATTATTTATTAAAGAGTATTTCATAAAAAAAACGTTTACTGATTAGTAACTAGTTTTCTATGTATTAAAAAATTTGTTATTGGTATTTACAAGATTTTCGAAAGCTCTGGCTTTAGGCGAAACTATAGAATTATCCAAAAATTAACACTTTCAATAAAGTAATTCTGATTCGGTTACAATAATATGGAATAAATTTTTTTAGAATTTTTAAGCGGTCCATTTTACCCCTGGTATTACGAAAAGGGCTAAAAATGTACAAATAACCAGAATTATAATTATTACAAATAACAAAAAAAAAATGGTTAATTTTGCCCGCCTTGCCCTTATCCGCTAATTACATCTTCTCTATTGTTACAGAGGTAGGTAAGTTTGATTGTATGGATTATTGGTATTGGTATTGGTATTAAAGGGGGGCGCCCTCGCGGGCGTCAAAGCACTTAGGCCACCAGATGGGCCCGTTGTGCCCCCAGGCCGCTCTAGATTGTATGGATATTCGTGCAAGTGTTACTTTGTCAGTGACGAGTGAAGAAGATGGCTATCCCTGAAAGATAAAAACTTGTAAGTACCTTTTTAAAATTCTGTTGTAAGAATAAATAATTCTTCAACATTAGGTTAATGCAAAATTGGGGGTGTAATGTCTCGCGTAGTATACTGCAATTATCTTCGTTTCAATATCGTAAATAAAACACCGGAGCGCGCAAATCAAATTTCTTACCATACAGGTATATTTTGAAATTCCTCTACCGACCAAACTAAAGCTACAACTTCTTAATTTAAAAAAAACTTATTAACTTTTAAACTTTTTCATTTGTAAAAAACTTTTTAATGTGAAGAAAAATTATTAATTTAAAGAACAGATTCTAATTTGAAGAAAACATTTCAATTTTAATTATAAAAAAAATGTTCTAGTTTAAGTTGTGTTAGTTGAAAAAAATAACTTTTAATTTGAAATATCAAAACAAGTTTTAGTTCCAAGTTCCTTTTTATATAGTTATTGCTTAAAAAAAACTAGAAAAATTAATTTTGGTTAGTTGAAAAAGGCAAGAAAAGTCATTAATTTGAAGTGTAAAAAAATGTTTAAGTTTTTATGTACTTTTTTGTAATGTGATTAGAGAAAGAGAGCAAAATTAAGTTCATATTCCACATATTTCTCACGAGGCACAAAATCGTCTACAGGGTGAAATGTAAAATTTTTGGATAAAAGGGTCTTTTTCGACACGTTCGTTCAAAAATTACAAGCCGCCTAGTATGATAAAGAGAGAAAAATCAACTTCATATTCCCATATTTTTGATGCGCCATAAAATCGTTTACGGGATGAAACATACAATTTTTTGATAAAAGTGACTTTTTCGTCAGTTCACAAATTACAAGCTGCCTAATCTTATTAAAGACATTTTTGACACTGTACAAAATCGTCTACAGGATGCCTAGATCTACATGCAATTTTTTGATACGAGTGTAT